CATCACTGGGTCGTTTTAATCTCTTAGAGGCATAAAACTAATTCAGTGTCCTCAAGTGATCTTACACATCTTGTTTGTATTGTCCAATAATATTTATCTACTGTAAATTTGGAGTAAGCTATTGCAAAAGTAAATATTAGCGTCAGACAGGTTTTACTTTAATTGGGACAATCCTCATTACTTGTATTAAAATACGTTTCGAGTGTATTTCCTCTTTTTATGAGGCAACATTTTTAGTAAAAAATACCAATTTCAGATTATTTTAATGCAACTATTACCAACAAGATTATGTCATTAGTAAGTCATATTATGGTTTTGGACCATTTTATTTGTAATGTGCACTATACATTGACTTCAAAAGTTATAATTATGGAATATAGGCGTAGCAAACCTAAAAAAGTGCGATCAGTCTAGTAACATATAAAAACTGAATCCTTCATATATGCTTTGTTAGGTAAACATTTGTTTCTAAAATAAGCCATGTAAGAATTTAGCACAATCTCTAAACAACAATTTCCGTTCATGTAGTAATTAATGGTTAACAACGCATCCTGATTATATTCCAAGATTCCACTGACGTTGACTAGAAGACCAAGCATCTCAGATTCCAGTCCTTATAAAATGACAACCTATAGATCAGATTTTATATACCTGACAGCTCCGACAGGTTAAAAACAATGTTTACGAAAGTCAAAATACTCTAAAACTTTTGATCAGTCATACAGTTTTAGTATTTGTTTGAACTATATATTTCTATGTTCATTCTAAAGGCATTAGAGCAGAAATGAAAACTCTCTGTATTAAAACATTTAGCTTCTTAACATATGTTTTTGTTAGCTTTTATCACAAATGTTGCTTTTTGTTAATTTTTAAAAAAATAGATATGATATAACATAAAGATTAAAATTACATGATATTACACTTGAATTGTGTTATATTGTGTAATTATGGGGAGGAATGGAAGGCTTGAGTACTGAAGTGTTAAATAAAATGGTTAAAACTGGAGTTTCACAAAGGAAATTTTTGTTCTCTACATCTGTGGATATTTCAGTCTTTTTCAAATAGTTGATAAAATTGAGGCTCTCTAGCAAAAATTGCTGAAAAAAACTTAGGTAAGAAAGGAACCAAGAGTCAGTTGATTTTTATTGTCCAAAAAACAGGACAACTTTAAAAAAAATGTTGTAGAAATACAGAGACTCCTTTAAGTGTGAAATATCATTTCATTGTAAATAGTCAAAAAAGAGTCGGTAATCCAACTTCCGGAAACTGTTCTGAATTATTTCAGCAGACTCTTTTAAAAGGGGATTAGCAGGGCTTTAGGGGCAAAATCCTTCTGTTTTATTCAATCTCTGATTTTATGTTATAATTACTAGATGTAAAGACTCTTGAATTAGTATGCAGCAGTCGTCCAGACATTATGCAGGTGCTATTCTAATCATTCAGCTTTTTAATTAAGGAACGAGGTAAGAAAACAGAATCATAAAAACACTTTTGTGAGAGCTGAGAAAATTGTGAGCGACTGCATGAATAAAGCCTTTATACCTTATCCTGACAGGTCAGACACCAATTGCCTGACTTACGACCTTTTCTTGATGAAACAATGGTTAACAGCTTTCTCACCTTGTTCCCATTATAGCCTTTATTCTTATATAGAATTTATGGAAATGCCCATAAAATGCTTATATTAAAAGGGAGGGCGGGGAAGGTATTGCGATTATTATTGATACGTATCCTGATACTTTATCTCTGATAGTTCTGAAATGGGTGCTCAGAATATTTGTATACAAAAGGGTCACACTCATTCACGAAACTTTTGCCAGATCGTAAGATTTTCATGTATAAAGAATAACAATCCAGCAAGGTTAACTGACTGCTCGACTAAGAGGCAAATCCAAAAGTCTTCTCTGATCAATCCACCAATATGCATAACAACACTTGATGTCACAATAAAAACTTAGACCTTTTGTGGTTTTTCGTTTGTTTGTTTTTTAATTTCTT